AGAAAAATCTACTTGAGTACAGTAACAAAGTATTTGTACTTCGTTACTTCCCATCTCTGTTGAGTACTGATTATACCCCATAAATTACAGTAACAGGTCATTTTTCCATGAGCTCACATAAAGAAACTTCTTAATGTATGTTTTGAGAAACTATTGGAAATATAGTTATCATTTTTTTGGTTTTTGTCTACAAGTCTATAAAAACTGTTTTGTATTATTGCAGCGTAATGTCTGACTAAGAAAGTTTGACAAATATAGCTTTGATGTAAGTAAAATAGTAAAAGAGAAATATCTTTTAATTTCCTACAGTGAGGAAATTCAGGTAAGTTTGTCAGCTAAACAAAAAATTCAAAGCACCGTAAAAAAAAAAATATATATATATATATATTAAAATCGGCCTAGTCATAAAATATTAAAAATGTACCATTTTCTATGCTGGTTGCTCACTTTAGTTGCATGTAAAGGCTTTTCACTGACGTTATGGCACCCTATTGGATTATTGTATTTTATTTTTTATGTTTTACATTTATTTTTTTTTCTCCATTTGTAGTAAACTAAAGTGTTTGATATTAACCACAGAAAGACTCATTGACTGCAAAACAGCATTCCTCTATCTGTGGTATGAATAGAAAGAGTAAGTCCAACAATAACCAGTGAGAGAAAAAGTGCAAAGAAATATTTGATGCTACCTGAAATAAGAGCCGAGTCGTGCTTTGAATACAAGAGGAACGCTGGGGTTCACTAATGCAGAGGCTAAGGCTGCAGAAGCTGCTAAGGTGATGTATGGGTAAGTACTGCCAGTACCTATACTGGCTTAAAATGAGCTAAAGTTGATTAAATTAACACTATCAGGGCAAATGATTGGTGTATATTGCTTTATTTGGACATGAACACGTGTTTGTTTAGTTTGTTTTTGTCTTTTTCTATAAGCGCAGATATGGTGGTCAAAGCTTGCAAATGTCCTGCAAATACATGAATGTGCAGCAAATTCAAAAAGAACAGCAAATAAAAAAGTTCCCAAACACAGAAATGTGACGGCAAACCCAAAATACTGCAGCAGAGAAATGCTTTCATCACAGAACATAGAGAGCATCAAAGTGCAAATGAAATGCAAATACAAAACTCCCAGCAAATATTTGAATGATGCTAACACACATAACATATGCTAAAGGAGAAATGCTGCCAGTAGCAAAAACAACTGTAGGTTAGGAAAAACTGAAGTAATGTCGCAGAATGGAAGTGCTCCAGACCACTAGGGGGAGATGATCATCAACATATATGGGACCAGACCCTTACTGAACACATCGACTGGATGCTTACAAGAGGCTGTTTAAATGTCTGCTCAAGTTTTTTTGTTTGTTTGTTTTTTTAATGCTTTATTTGTAATCAAACATCAAGCATAGATATACAACAGTTGGTGAAATATTGGACAATTATAGGCGAAAGAAAGACCTCAAGAAAGACAAGACATAGAAGTTAAAAAATAAATGAAATAAACATAAAATAATAGCTAGGGGTTTACATTGAGTTTACGGTCATTTACAAAACTGTATAATTTTATACCATTTTTCTTCCTC